CCCCTTCAGCCCCTCCCTTGCTGCCAGCTGAGCTGGAGTCCAGGGAAACCTTTAGCAGCTGCTTACAAGGAGCCATTACTGTGGCCCCTCCCTGCTACCAGACAAAACCCCCCACACAAAACCATAACAGCCCCCTTCAGATACTGGAAGGCCCACCATAAGCTCTCCCTGGAGCCTTCTTTTCTCCAGGCTGAACAACCCCAACTCTCTCAGCCTGTCCTCATAGGAGAGGTGCTCCAGGCCTCTGATCATCTTTGTATCCCTCCTCTGGACCCACTCCAACAGCAAAACATTCTTTTTATGTTGGAAGTCCCACAGCTGGATGCCGTACCCCAGGTGGGGTCTTACGAGAGCAGAGTAGAGGGGGAGAATCACCTCCTTCGACCTGCTGCTAATGCTTCTTTTGATGCAGCCCAGGACACGGTTGGCTTTCTGGGCTGCAAGCGCACACTGCCAGCTCATGTTGAGCTTCTCATCCACCAACACCCCCAAGTGCTTCTCCTCAGGGCTGCTCTCGATCCATTCTCCACCCAGCCTGTATTTGTGCTTGGGATTGCCTCGACCCACATGCAGGACCTTGCACTTGGTTTTGTTGAACTTCATGAGGTTTGCATTGACCCACCTCTCAAGCCTGTCAAGGTCCCTCTGGATGGCATCCCTTCCCTCCAGCATGTTGACCTCTCCACACAGCTTGCTGTCATGGGCAAACTTGCTGAGGGTGCACTCGATCCCACTGTCCATGTCTCCAACAAAGATGTTAAACAACACTGGTCCCAGTACCAACCCCTGCTTTACCAACCCTGACAACCACCACTTGTCACCGGTCTCCACTTGGACATTGAGACATTGACCACAACTCTTTGAGTGTGACCACCCAGCCAATTCCTCATCCACCGAGTGGCCCATCTTTCAAATCCATGTCTCTCCATTTTAGAGACAAGGAAGTCATGTGGGTCAGCATCAAGTGTTTTCCACAAGTCCAGGTAGATTTGAAAACAATGGTAAGGCAGGACACTGAGCAATGACTAGAATCACAATTCATGCAAGACCCAGAAGAACAACAGAGTACTAAGTTTCCTCTAAACATATATCCAAAGGCTAAAAATATCCCCATGAAACTAATTCTTTCCAAATGGTTTCCAAGTGGTCTCTTTCTTGACTTCCTTTGCATTTCCTGGGTGGCATAGTAACAAAATAACAC